CCTACAGCATGATGCTGCCAATACTTTGAGTCAAAGCTGGGATGCTTTGATTTAATGCTGTGTTAGTTTTCCACCTCAATTAGAGTCTGTCAGTCTGTTCAAGACTTGCGTTTTGTTCTTAACTGGCTAAAAAACAGCTTCTTCCATTTTGTTATACATCCTTCATGGTGACTGTATCAGTAACAATTGTGGTCTCTTTAGGTCTTGATAACACAGTAGACTTTAATACATGTGTAAAAATAATCTGTCCATAGAGAAGCCGTGGAACACTTTCTGGAAGCGCTCTCTCTCCAGCGACAGGCTGCAGGAGATGGAGCGAGAGCAGCGAGGGGACCCGGAGGCGCAGCAGCAGTGGTGATGTCTGACAACATCTGGTCCACGCTACGGATGGCTCTCAGCATGATGGGAGAGAGCTCTTTGTACGCTGCAGCCGACCGAAGAGACTTGGACACGTTGCTGGCTCATTTTAACCAGAGAGAGGTGGAGGGTGGAAGTGAATGAGAACTAATCAGGCGGGGGTTTATTGAGTGTGAATGTGCTCAGATGGGAGGTCAGTGTTTGGGTGAAGCAAAAATGTGGAAATAAATTGGACACGGGGACACTGACATCAGAGATGTTAGAGCTTCACGTGTTTTAAATGAGTACTATAATGCAGTATCAGTCTCCAGCTAGGGAAAAAAAACAAGCTGCTACTGTGTTTCAAAAGTTTGCCAGTCCTCATATTTCCCTCGGTGTTGTTCTAGCTAATGAGGTGAAACGGTTCCCTTTGTTTACTTGAAGTTTTGAAGAGTTATGTAAACGACACCGAGCATGTCAATCATTTCTGTCAGGTTCTTAGGTTGGTTTTTGATGATACTCAGTACTCTCTCCGTCTTCATTACCTACAACTTCTAGTACTTCTAGTATTTAAGGGATTTGAAGCTGCAGAGCTGCTTTAAGGTTAGAGTTCTTCTTTTCACCCAGAAGTGCTTTCAAAAGAAAAGTTTAGTCAAAGAAGTACACAGCAAAACGTGCTGCAGCTTTGTTTTTTTTTTTATCATATGTACTTTCTTAGTAGTCATTGATCTGCCAGGACAATAAACTGGCAACCAGCAGGACTGTTATTATGATTAGGTGTGTGTGTGTGTTCATTGTAATTAACTGGACAACATCTAAAACATGATGCATCGTGAGAATGATTGTTTGGCTCCCCGCTGTTTTGCTCTTTTTCCTGAAGCCCTTAAACTAATTTTGCTTCATTGTAAAATAATCCTATATGCCATGTGTATTGTAACATAATTGATGCACTATAATTGTTTTCAGGTTACTTGGATCCTGATTGCAATCTTTATTATAATATCCAGCAATAAAGCTTTGATTCCATTCGAGGTCATTGGATGTTTTTGTTGTGACTGTGACCCAAACAGCTATGTTGTTCTGGGTTTAGAAATACTAGAAGTCGTACAATTTTATTTAAAAAAAATGTATGCAAAGGGTATGCTTATATTATACATATTTGTAGGTATTAAAGTTATGCTCAAAATTATACTGTCATAAGAAAGGATCTTGTTTGAAACTTTGTGATTTTTGAGTTAACAGGAATCTTACTTGGTATTTTTTTTTTCTTTTTTTTTTTACACATTTGGTACAAGAGACATTAGGAGCTAGTTATTTGAGTTTAGTTTGTCTGCTTATCTTCCCCCACTTTCCTCAGGAAACTGCCTAAAACCCGAGTTGTGCTCTATAGAAAAGCTCCCTGTTGCAAGGTGGACCTCCACTTCAGCCACATGTCTTCTGTTGCCTGAAGGGGTTTTCTCACAATCAAAGAGCTTCCATTCTCCTTTTGAAGAAAACAAAAATGAGTTCCCACAGCATGATACTTCTATCACCATGTTAAATGACCAGAAGGGATTTATTAAGTTGGCATGCTGTACAGATAAAAGCCTGGCATCCTTTGCCAAACTAAAATATTCATGTATCTACCTTATCCACCAGATTTTTTTCAATAATCTTTGTCTTTATCAGAGGTGTCAAATAACTAAGTATGACGTTGTGTTTTTCTGTATCTGCAACTGAGTTTATACATTGCCGGAAAAAATAAAGGGAACACATAACACAACTAAATCAAACTTCTGTGAAATAAAGCAGCACTGATTGACAATCAATTTCACATGCTATTTTGTATATAGAATGGATAAAAGGGGGAATTTATCAGCAATTAGCTTGACACCTGCAATAAAGTTGTGGTTCTGCAGGTGAAACTACAGACAACTTAGTATCTATACTCTGGCTGATGTTTTGGTCACTTTCGAATGTTGGTGGTGCTTTCACTCTTGTGGTAAAATATTGCTAGGTTCAGACCGCACACGACAGAGGCAGCAGAAGCAGCTGGTTTACATGCAAAGTCTTTGATTGGGGCTCATCAACAGATCCTACAGCTCTTTTTGAGCAGAAGGAGCAGCGCATCTTGACGAGTTGAAGCAGCGCCTTATGACCTTCTGAGGCGTGGGACGTGCTGCGCAAGCAGCCGATGCTGAAGTTAGAAAACTTAAACTTTTTCTGCTCCATGTGCCACATCAATGAATCTGAGAAGCTTATCTGGGATCTGGCAGGGAGACAGACACAGCGCTGCTGATGCAGAAAGCTATAATCACTCACTTGAAACAGCTTAAAGCCTAAATTAACCTAAAATGTTAAAACTTTCCGGCAAAATATGTTTGCTTTTATTATCCTGGTACCTGCAGTTTGGATTACGTACATGAAAAACGCCTTCCAGCCACTGCGAACATTATGGGCCAAAAGCTGTCGTTGAAGGGGTTTTCAGTGACAGCGGACCACCAGTATGCGGGGGTCTGAGCGGCTCCAACAGCGAATAATATTTGAAGGCAGGATCATAATCTTGATCAACTGACTGCACAGATTAATTTCCAGGTGGACTTTCTCATTTAAAAACATATTAAAACTATTTTTACCAACTTTAAAAGCAAATATAGCAAATCTGTCCTCTGTCATTGAACACAGGAGCAGCACAAGCATCAGATGCATCTGTACACCCTTAATGGAAGTATTAGATGGACTCTACAACCTACACAAGAGGCTCAGGTAGGTCACTCAGGATGCCAAATCAAGGCAAGCTGTGGCAAGAAGGTTTCCTGTGTCTCCTAGCATAGTGTCCAGAGGCTCGAGGCGCTACCAGGAGATGTGGAGGAGGCCGTAGAAGGGTGATCCAGCAGCAGGACCACTATCTCCGCCTTCGTGGAAGGAGGAACAGGAGGAGCACTGCCAGAGCCCTGCAAAATGACCTCCAGCAGGCTGCAAATATGCATGTGTCTGCACAAATGGTTAGACACTGACTCCATGAGGGGCTGACATCCACAGATGGGGGTTATGGTTACAGCTTCATTAAAGCTTGAAAGCACACTAAACATGGATAGAAATTAAAATGTGAAGAAAATATAAAACACCCCTAGTAGAGTCAGTGAATTTATAAAGATGCACCAGAGTGCGTTACCACAGATCCTTCCTCCCAGCAGCTGTAAGAATTTATAACTATCACTGTTACCAACAACCTCAATAAGTTGTTACATTCATGTTGATTTTTGCAGTTTCTGACATGCTGCTGTTATTTTACACATATCTGAATGGATCAAATATCCATTACTGTAAAAATGTCCACAGCTATATATTAGTTATGTATTCTCCAGGTGAACAGTATTCATATTGTAAAAACACTTTATAGCAGAGTTTTTTTTTTTAACTCTTCGCTATTATGTTATTTTCATACACTTTTCCAAGTTTCACATTTGTGTGACCACTTTTGCTATAATGTTTGTGCTGTAACACCAGTTTCCTCATTGTGGGAAAATAAAGTGTGTTTCTATTATATTCTATTTTTTAACCTCTTACACCCTAAGGGGGTATAAATAAATTTC